ATAACATTGGTGAAAATATTATCTATTAATGTTGCATGCTGAATTGTTACTCTACTTGGTTTTGTAATTTTTGGATATAAGCTGCATCTGTATATTGTGTTACTAAACTCCTCAGTTCCTGTGTGCTTGTTAGGATTTAACAAATCTATGTTGAAATCACTGCATATGAACATTAATTTATGACTTATTGTCAGGTAATTTTCTTCCATCCACTCATTAAACTTTTCTATGCTGGCACCAGGTGCTCTGTAGATACAGCTTATTACAACATTTTTCTTTTTTTCCAGTAGTAATTCAACCGTCACACACTCCAGCAAGTTATCGATCGCCCTTGACATATTTTCCAGTTTTTTGTAACAAAGGTTGTTATCTATGTACAAGGCCACTCCACCTCCCATCTTATTCTCTCTGTTTGTGCAGACCAAGTCATAACCATCCAAGTCAAGGTTGATTCCTCTTACATTATTAAACCATGTTTCTGAAAAAGCAATTATATTAAACGAGTGTGTAAGACTACCAAGATAATGTTTTATACTCTGAAAGTTTGCATATAAACTTCTGCTATTAAAATGAATTAATGATAAATTGTTTTCAGTCTTAACATTACTGTTAAACTGCTCATCCGTATAATACTTGCAGTTATTTTCAGAGTTCTCAAAAAAGTTTATTCCTGGGTCAAAATCTTCGTCCGGTTTGTGATGATGAGTTTCAGTATTTCCAAATGTGTTCAGCTCCAGATCCAATTCGTCGAAAACTTTTAACTTGTGTGACAAATCACTTGCCTCATTCAGTACATGTGTCATGCATGGTGTTGCAGACTCGACACTCATCTGCCATCGCAGATATCAATACACCTGCGTATTTCTTCATATTTCGTATCTCTCCCATACAGCCGAGGGTCCAGGGGCCCCTCCTCCCCCTCCTTGTTTCAGCATGCTGGTCCTCGGCGTGCTGGACTTGGGTCCTGGTCCCTGGTTCTGAGGACGGGTCACTAGTCGGTCATATCTCAGAAAAGCAATGTCTCCTTTCTCCCTGGCCTCCCTTAACTTCGGCATCAACTCCTTTCTTCTCTTCCTCACAGCCTCGGTGTAATCTTCATTTATATAGATGTTAGATCCTTTGAGCTTCTTTGCCTGTTGTAAAATGTGTGTGACTAACAATAATGGTTGAAAACAAACACAGAACACAGGTAGGATTCAAGGATTCAAGATTTTTATTTGCCATTTATGCATAAACAGACAGTCTAGGCATATAGATCTCCTTTGGAGTCAGGTAGGGAGTCAAAAGCTAGAAAGAACATTTAGTCTTAAAATAAAAAAGTTACATAAAGGCGACATTAAGCATTAAAACCGCAATACACAAAAACAGAGTAATAGTATTTCCCACAGTGAAGTTCAAACATTGCACTTAGTAATTCACATGGTGGAGTTGGATATGTCATTACACTTGGTGAGGTAGTGAGGGGTTATAACATACTAAAACAGTTTATATTCAGACCTGTTTCCACTGCTTGGTGGAGAATGTCCTGCTATTATTCAGGTCCCCCAAGAGAACACTGTTGATGAGATGTTCTTACAAACATACCTTGTGGAATATTTGTGTTTTATTATTGAGCATGTCTAGTAAGGGGTTATTGCACATATATGCTCACATTTTTGTATTTACCATCAGTGTTACTGGGGCAGGGGAAAAAGCTGTTGTAAAGTCTAGTTCTGTGTGTGATGATACTGTCCTCCCTGCTATGCCTGAGGCTGTAGGTGCAGTTTTTGTGTCTGAGCAGGGAGTGAGCTGGGTGGCGTGGGTCTCTATGTTCTCTGCCCTTTTACGACAGCACTGTGTGTACAGTGTGTCCATAGAAGGCAGTTCAGTAACAATGATCCTCTCTGCAGTCTTTATGACCCTTTAAAGAGCCTTCCCCTCTGCCTGTGTGGTGTTACCATACCAGACTGATGCCAGTAGTGAGGATGCTCTCTACCAGTCCTCTATAAGCCTGGGTGAGAGGGCAACAGTTCAGACCAGCTTTTCTGAGCTGCCTGATGAAGTTTAGCCACTGCTGGGCTTTCTTCACTGTAGCAGCTGTGTTCAGTGACCAGCTCAGGTCAGATGTCACCTGCAGGCCCAGGAACTTGTCCCGACTCGTCTCCCCCCTTGATGATGCCCAGAATGGTGGTGTCATCAGCATATTTAGTGATGATGGTGCTGTTATGGTTGGAGACACAGTCGTGGGTGTACAGGGTGAAGAGTTTGGGGCTGAGACAACAGCCTTGCGGTGAGTCTGTGCTCATTGTGAGCTCAGCAGACACCCGCCCTCCCATTCTGACCATCTGTGGTCTTTCAGTCAGGAAGTCCAGAATCCAGTTACATGTGGGAGTTGGGACACTGAGGTCTGTCATCTTCCCAATCAGCCTGTCCAGGAGAATGGTATTGAATACAGAACTGCAATCCAGGAAGAGCATCCTAGCATAGGTACTGCTGTTGTCCAGGTGTTTCAGGGTATGGAATAAAGCCAGAGCCATTGCATCGTCCAGTGATCTGTTGGGGCGGTAGGCAAACTGGAGAGGGTCTACAGTGTCCAGGACCATGTCTGGTCCCACTGCCTTATGGGGGTTTACCTGTTTCAGGGCCTTCAGGACCAGTGTGTGCATCACCTGAAAAGCAGTGTCCCCCGGGTCGCAGGGGGATGTCTCTGTTCATTCTGTCAAGCCTCACATAGATGTTGCTGAGGCTGTCCAGTAGGGCAGCGTCCTGGGGGGCTGTGTTTGTTGATTTGTTACTGCAGTTTGACTGCCTGGATTCCCTGCCTCATACTGTGCGTGTTGTTATTCATGTAGTAGCTCTCCAGTTTTTGGAAGTATGCTCTCTTTGCAGCTCTGATGGACTTCTGTAGCTCATACCAGGCTTTCCTGTACTCCGCTTGGTGCCCTGACTTAAAAGCCTCTCGTCTCTTCCTGATTTTCTGTTTTATATCCCCATTAAACCATGGTTTTTGGTTGGGGAAAAACACACACCGTTCTAGATGTAATCACTCAGTCTCTGCATATGGCTAGCTCTGAGGCAAGCAACTGAAACACAAGTGAGAATAACAGAGGTATGATGACTGGATCAGGTAATACAACTGGCTCAAGAAAGCAGGTAAATAGCAGGCAGACAGGATTTAAACACAGAACATACCTGTACATGTAAGAGTGGCTACCAAACATACAAACAAGTTAGAGAACAGTCAAATTGTTGTCACAGGGTCAAAAACTGCTCATCTCCAAACAGGCGGGCTGGGCAAAACAGTTCAGATGACGGCAGACAAATTCAGGAAGCGACTAGAGTCTGTCCACAATGAAAGCAAAAAAACCCAAAACAAAACCTGGGACCAGAACTGAGCAGAAAACACGAGACAACAAAACATCCGAAGGTTCAAAAAAAGAGAAGGCAAGGCAGGAGTCCAAGGGGCCTCACAATTTATACATCTACTTGTCCATTTCTATAAATAAATCAATGCTGTTGCAGCTTCAAACATATTGTACAGTAGAGTAGTAAAGTGGAAACACTAAAATAAAAGCAAGCAACTCAAGGCTATTAAGCCTCTGTTTTACAGGAGAAACATTTGACTGGGACAGCTGCTGTCTTCTGAGAAAAATTAGCACAGGCAAAACGTCACACCACTCACAGTACTACAGTAAAAGTTGCGTCACACCAGATGGGAACGGCGCATTAAATGGAGTGCATTCAGAACTTGCATCTACAGGTTAGTGTTCAAAGAACAGTAGGCTGAATAAATAAAACCCATGCACTATGTGTATGCCTCATAATAGAATTGCTCAATCCATTACTGTAAAGACATTAATAAAGCCAATGTAAAAAGCTATTGCATATGCCCATCCATCTCTCTTCTGTCACAACCAATTATATATAAATTCATTTCCAGTGTGCATCTAGAAGCCAGAATGCTTTTAGCTGTTCTAAAGATGGCTGCACTTCAGCAGTAGATCAATAGGAAATATCTGTCCCCGTTTCCCAAACAATACAGAGGGGGCCACTGTCCCTATAGTCACAGTTCTGTCCCACACGGCAGGTAAAAACTCTTTATTTACCTTAAGTACCACAGAAGTAAAGTGTATTAGTTTGTGTCTTTTCTGTCACTTTTCATTTATCTTCCTTTTATTCATTTTACAACCTGGACCTCAACATGACAAGCACTTCAATCAGAAAGATGGAGGATTTAGCTTTTTGACACTAATTAAATAGATGTGTTGTACTGCATAAATAATAAGTAAACCACTGAATAAACAATTATTCTGTGCACAAAAGTATGGCAAGCTTGGGTGTGTTTGCTGACCTGGACTCATCTGGCCTCCTGTGGGTGAGATCCGCAGAGTGAACAGCTGAACCTGAATGAACTGGCTTGATCAAGAGCGTGAGGTTCCCCGCAGCTGGACCAGCCTCATACAGAGCCACCTGCAAGATGCAGCGCCTGTCACTTCCCAGCAGCGCTGGGCTGGTTAAATGGTACTTGCATCTCCCAGAGTTCTCAGTGGCAGGGGAGGAGCTCAGCAGAAGAAAGTGTCCTAGGATAATAAAAGAGTAGAAAATTTATGCTCGACAGTTTTATGCTCTAAATATGTGGCATCAAAGAAAAGGCATGAGCAGTATCCTTAAAGCGCTCATTTAGCTGCTCTGCAGTGAGTCTCTGTTCTCCTACCATCAGAGCTTCCCACTGAGTGGTCCGTCACAGGCATTGTCCCAGTCTGTGCACTTTCTGGTTGCTGTGGTGATGCCACAGACCAGTCACTTTGGTCACTGTGATTTGATAAAGTCCAGAGGCACAGTGACTCAAAATCACAGGAGACAACTGCAATGCAGAAAGGTGAAGTCAAAATGTGGGGATTTCATAGAACATAATACGAGAGTGGTTAATGGCATTGAAAAGTTTTATAAATGCCAGAGTGGGAATGGCTGAAGACACCATTAGGTTTTTCTTAAGATTCTTTTTCTTAAAAAAAAAAAAAAGAAAATACAAGTCTATCTACTGTACCAAGGCTGCACAACCCTCTAAACAGCATTTTAGCAAAGTTTTTTTGGATCCAGAACTGCATCAAACCACACAGTCATTGACAGGTATGGTATACAGTACATGTGCCACATGCAGACGTATGAACAGTAGCTTTTTAGCACTTATTTCCATCATAGCTAAAAAATGTACAGGACCTGACCTGCACAACAGTCCTAAAAGTCCTCTAAATCCCTACATAAATTAACAAAATTAAACTGGGTTAATTAGTCTGAAATCCAATTTCTGTTTAACAGCCAAACAGAGGGAGAGATTGGGTATCTTTGTTGGGGGCTGATGAAGGGATGAGAAAAGAGGTGTTTGAGACATCATGTAATGTCAGAGAGGAAACTGCCACTACAAAGCCAATCAGAGGGAGATATCTTTGCTGGGGGGTGATGAAGGGATGAGAAAAGAAGTGTTTGAGACATCATATAATGTCAGAGAGGAAACTGCCACTACAGCTTATGCGGCAAACAGAATCCCTCCACCAATACAGGACATGATGATTTATTTCTCTGAAAAACATTTATTTCTTTGTCATGGATGAACTAAAATTAAGCTTCCTCTGACAACACATTACATAAAAACATAGCAGGTTGGACAAACTGCTTTCCTGCTGTCAACACGTTCTCCTTTGTTCTTTCTATTCAGTCTAACAGAGGAACAGTGCTGTTACGCTGCAGGCCAAACTTGTACCTGAACTTTATAATGAGTAGTTTTCTGTTCCTTCAAAGGTCAAGCTTCTTATTGAGTTGACAAGTGGCAATAGTCATTGTTGACCTTTAAACAGATTCAAGTTTTTGTATGTACAGTACACGCTACTGAAGGTTCCTTCACTAGTGGTTTCCACTTTCCAAACCAATCTGCATTCAGAGTCAGTCACTGCTTAAGTAGATGCAGGTAATTATAGCAAGTAATGAACACAGTGACAGAGATGATCACGGGTATATTTATTTTGTTCATTTGTGTGCGTAACAGTGCATCAGTAAGTATACGACTCACTTTGGCTGTCATCTTCCGAGTCCAGGTGATGAAAAAACAACGGCTCTGAGTTTTTCTCCAGAAATCTGTCCAAAAGTGCAGGACATGTGCTGCTTATTCAGACTGACAAAGGAAAGGAACGGGTGTTTATGCAACACTTGAGGCAGAGCAATTAGGTTCCAGTGTGTATCGGAGGAATACATAGGTGTCCACACTTTGCCCAAGCCCACAGAGGGAGCTGACAACAACACAGCCTGCAGTTAATGGAGAATTTTACAACCCAAACTGAGTGTATTGTGAATGTGTGGCCAACTGGTGAGCTGTTCACAGTGCACTCTGTTGCTTCACTCATGGGAGCTGGGATGTACTCCAGGTCAAGGTCAAGGTCAAAAGTGTTTTTTTTTTTGTCATGTGCACAGTTGGGAAATGTGTGTCCCTGTACAATGAAATTCTTATTTGCCATCCACATGGATGCCACGCAATACAAGTGAAATATAAAGTAGATGAGCAGCAACATAAATCTAAGGCACTTTAAAGCACCAAGTGAAGGAAGCAAATAAAAATACAACAAGAACACAATATAATACAGAGAGAATATATGCTTCCTTGGGAACCGTGACGTGCAAATACTCAGCAGTGAGTGTGCAATTACAGTGGGTACGGAAAGTATTCAGACCCCCTTAAATTTTTCACTCTTTGTTATATTGCAGCCATATGCTAAAATCATTTAAGTTCTTTTTTTTTTCCTCATTAATGTACACACAGCACCCCATATTGACAGAAAAACACAGAATTTTTGACATTTTTGCAGATTTATTAAAAAAGAAAAACTGAAATATCACATGGTCATAAGTATTCAGACCCTTTGCTGTGACACTCATATATTTAACTTAGGTACTGTCCATTTCTTCTGATCATCCCTGAGATGGTTCTACACCTTCATTTGAGTCCAGCTGTGTTTGATTATACTGATTGGACGTGATTAGAAAAGCCACACACCTGTCTATATAAGACCCTACAGCTCACACTGCATGTCAGAGCAAATGAGAATCATGAGGTCAAAGGAACTGCCTGAAGAGCTCACAGACAGAATTGTGGCAAGGCACAGATCTGGCCAAGGTTACAAAAAAAAATTCTGCTGCACTTAAGGTTCCTAAGAGCAC